GCGGGTAGGACAAGCGGCAGGTAGAGCTCCGTTCTAGAGCGGAAGCTTTTCAAACATAGAACGTAACCAGGGAGGGTAAATATAACCGATCGCTTCGGCCCCAGGCAGGAGCACAGAGCCGTGCCGGGCGACCCGCGGGAGGGAGGCTCCGTCCTGAAGGTGCACCTTCGCTCGCAGGGACTCCAGCTACTGCTGGGGGCTCCACTGGGTCAAGGTTGTGGAGGGAAAAAAGCAAAAAAAACAAGCAAATAAAAAAAAAATCCCCTAAACACCTCCCCCAGCATGAAAAGCTGAAGCTCAGTAGAAGCGCAGAGGCAGATGCCTTACAAAGCCACCGCTCCTCAGGGTGCTCGTTCGGAAGCGGCCTCATCGCCCAGCTCAGCACTCTGCAGCCATCCGTTTAGGCTATTTGCGTCCAGATATCAGCCAGCGCTCAAACAAGCCCTAACATAATCACACCTCCGCCTCAAACATTTTATAATCCAAGTGGGCAAAACAGAAGGGAGGGGGGGAAAAGCCAAGTCAACATCAGCGGGGCACGCTGCCCAATATCCCACAGCAACTTCAGGGCAAAACTGCACAGGCTCCCGGCCAGGCAAGTGACCCAGCTGCGTGCCAAGGGCCCCTACAGGGAGAAGAACTGAGGACTACGGCCAAGAGTTTGCATGATGTTACGGGAAGGAAAGGAAACGGAGCCTCTCCAAGACAATGTTAATGTACCAGACAGCGTGGGCACGGCGTGCCTCCACTGACTCCCCGCGCAGCCGCTCCAGGCTGCCCTCCGGCGTGACACCTGGGCTTCGCGGCATCAACCTCACCGCTTTCGGGCCACCCCCAGCCAGGTACGTCATCTCGCTGGCACGTGCTGCTTCAAAACTTCCACGGTCAGAGCAGGGCTTTGGGTTCGCTGCAAATAACTCGCAACGGAGACCAGCCGCCTGCGCTGCTGGAGCGGCCAGCTGCGAATGGACTGCCAGGAGTCGCAGCCACCACAGGAATTGGGTAATAGTAAGAGTTTGGTCAGACATCAAAATCTCATTGAGGATCTCCAAGCTGGTTAGACTCAAGGCTAAACCTAGGAGCTTTCAGAGAAGGGCAACGTAACCCGCTTTCTCCCTGGCACATTGTTCTTGGCTTAGTAGTTTTAGCCACAACGGTAATTAGGCTCGATCAACACAGGAACCAGACTGCCAGGGAGAGAGGGGCAACGCAAGAGGAGAAGGATGGAGAGTCCCGTCTGCCTGGAAGCTAGGCCACGGTCCTGCGCTCACGACGTTCGCTGAGGCTGCAGAGGGAGTCGGGACCAACTCCCAGTTCGTTTCCTGCAGGGGATCTGTGTGTGCACAGCAGGTTGAGGTACCTTGAAGACCTTGATCTGGCAGCTGGCAGAATGCAGGTGCTCCGTGTACTCCCCATTTTCATTCTCCTTAAAGGTGTCTATCTGGACCCGAAAGGGCACCCCCTTCTCTCCTCCATGCTTCCGCATGGTGAACTCCGTGCTGATGCAGTGAACCTGAGAGAAGCCAAGGCATCCTGCTGTTAATACGGCTGCCACGTTTGCATACGCATTCGCTGGTCGCATACAAACATCCCATTCCCCTCGCGCTAGCCAGGACAGCGCTCACTTAAAGGGCAACCCGGTGAGAAGGGCAAAAGAGAGGGCTTGGACAGGAAGACACCGAGTAACACCAGCATTAAGGAGTTAAGGGGACATCACAGCAGAGGTGGAGCCACATTCTTCCAACAAGTTTTGCAACCTCTTAATATGTTACAAGCGAGCCCCAGATCAGTAGAGAGTTCAGCTGCATTAACCTCCACCTTCTGCACCTAGTTTATTTTAGGCGGAAGGGCCAGATTTCCAAGGGGTAACTTCATCAGCTGGTGAGATTTGCAAAAGCCTCTAAGCAAGAATGAGACCTAAATCACCCAAAACTCCTCTGCATTGCTTGGGGGCGGGGGGAGTAGGGTGCATTCCAGTTTACATCCTTCTACCACTGCATCATCTGGCTGCTATTTCAGAGCTTCGAGTCAAAAAAGCATTTTTTCACCCTTAGAAAGAATTAATTTTTTTTCCTAAACCCTTGCAAGAAGAGTTCCCCCACATCTCTTCTTTTACCTGGATAAACACCGAAGTCCTTTTTGAAGGATCCCATAGAAACTCCACTGTATTCAGCTGGGTTGGATTCGCTCTAGGATCAATGATCCCCACGGACATTGGGATATCTGTAGACGTATGTATGGAAAACGAGCTGCAGTTTGTGGCAGGAAGAGGTGAAGGAAGGGAGATTCACAGGGAATACACAGAAGCACCAACAAATCTCACTTTCTCTCTCAAACTGCGGGATCTTGATGGCACTTTATCCCTTAAAGTCAAGAGACTGGGGAGCTTGGAGGGGGACGTTTCAGGCATCCGCGTCTCTTACAGCCCTGGCCAAGACGCTGCCCCAGGTACTCACCTATATCCAGTATCCTGTCCCCAGGCCTGTTCCACCTCCAGCCCTCCAGCTGCTGATGCTCCGTGTACTGCAGCCGCCGGTCGTGAAACACCACCCGGAATATGCTCTAGAGAGAAGACAGCTTCTGGAGATGTCTCCAGGAAACCTGGCAGCCTTCAAGCTGCAAGGTGCTTCCCTGACAGCATCAGGGATGACGACGCCTTGCATGGGATGGCCCCAGCTAGACACGCATACCCGTGCTCTCTGCTTACCTTCACCAGTTTCCCATTTATCTCTGGCAACTCCCCGATTTTCCTGTTGTCCAACATCCGTATTTCGTACGATTGCCCTGAGGGAAAGAAGACAAAGGCTCCTTGCCGTTAGTCATGGATGGATCCTCACTGCTGCCCCTCCTCTGGCATTTTGACATCTTTTGCTGTCACATTAGACGCATCACTTGATCTCCTTGCCACGTTTTGGTCAGGGGTCATATGAGTATGGGCCGTGGAAAACAGCCACAACGCCCCTCTCCAGGAACAGATAATCCTGCTCCTTTCTATCGAGCTGCAGCTGTAGCTTTCTACGAATTGCCTTTACTAACCCAAGCCACGTGCAGTCAAATCAAGAACAGGGATGAAACGCTTTGCACAAGCTTCATCTGGCTTTGGGCACCTACCTTGTTCCTCCAGTTCTACTGAAGGGCAGTGGCTACCGCTTGTGTCCCTAAAAGACACCCAGGGCAGAGCACCCCAGCACGCGTTTGACAGCGGCTACGCTCCTTCTGCCTTGCCCTCGTTGCCAGCCCCAAAGCAGCGGATACACCAGGGCACAGAGTTAGCCAACTGCATAGCCCATCTTGCGCTATGCAGATTTTTATTACAGTAAATCCTACAGGCGATTTATGTCACCACAGTAAGCCGAGGGCAGGCAGGAAGATGAAGGAACTGGCAGTTAAACAGAAGCAACCTGGGGTTTAACAGCGAGACGGTTTCTATTTGTAGGGGGAAATTTCCAAAGGTGGAATTTTATTGTTAAAACTTGGAGCGTTTCAATGAAGGACACGTGATCCGTGGAAGGCACCGGGCTTTGCTCACCTTGATTGAGATAGGTGAGCGTTTCATCGTGGAGCTTCACTGCAGGGGAAGTGGCTGCGCACAGCACGTACTGGAAGGGCAGAATTTTGTTCTCGTTTTCAGGAGGCAAACTCGATTCTTCCTGTTTGAAGATGGGCAGGGCGAGGACGTCGCTGAAAACAGATTTGTCAGACATATTCATTTCAGCTCTGGCTACAGAGAGATGATGCATTTGACATTTAGTACCTCCCCCTCCTAGGAAAAGCATTGTGCTTTTTTAATTAAAAAAGCACATACCCTGACATCTCTCTGCAGAATTGCAAAGGAGCATTAAAGCCGACAGTCTGCAGCTAAGAAGAGGACCCCAACACCCATTCTTGCTAGAGCTTTTTTCAAGTTAGCCTCCCTGAGGCACGCATTTCTTGTTTCAAACCTAAAAAAAGGCAGTGAAGTTAGTGTTTCAGATGGAAACCCAGCTCCTCCAGCAGCGCGACTCCTGCACCGCTCGTGCACCAGCGCAGAGTCGCAAAGGCGGCAGAACGACAGCAGCGCGGCACCGAGAAACTCCTGTCCCCTTCCTCGAGATACCACGCTGGTGCCTCCACCAGCACAAACCGGGCCCTAAAACTTAACCTCTCCGTTCTGGGGTCTGTCAACTAGTAGGCGGCAGTTTAACGCTGGGGGCAGAGAAAGGGTAAAAAAACCCTCTCCTTCGCAAAAACATCAGAGCCTTGCACAAGCGGACGAACCACCCTCCCACCGCACCCTGCCTGCATCCCACGAAGGAATTTCAACCACCACCTTGAGCCGAGCAGAGGAGCCAAGAACTCGCTTACCCCTAAGGAGAGGCTCTTTTAGCAGGAATTTGAAACCCTGCCCAGGTCAAGGGCACCAATTTTTTCCTCCTCCTCTACGCTTGTAAAAGCCACCCGCCAGGCCCGCAAACTGAGGTGTCACGCAAAGCGGAGGCCGAGACCTCAGAGCATGTCACCCGAGGAACGCGGTCAAGGGGCCGAGCCTCCCTCCCTCTGCAGCAGCAGAGGAAACCTGCAGCGAGACGCACGCAGACCTCAGTGGAGCAAATCCTGCCGGCTGTTAAATGAGCTCCTTCGCGCAGGCTGTGCAAGAGCAGGAGGAAAGAGCCCTTCCAGCGTGAAAACAGCAGGAGATGGACTCGCAGAGCTTTCCCCGTGACAGTTTCTCATTAATAAGCAAGAGCTCTTTGTGCCAGGTACTGCACCAAAACCAGCCCCTAATCCTGCCCAAGAATTTGAGACTCCCACGGAGGAGACCTAGGGTTGGGAGGAGAGGACCCGACAGGGACCCTGGGCTCCCAAAGCCGCTCAGTGGCAGAGTCCAGCAGCACCGGGACCACCACGGTTTTGGGAGACGCTCCACCTCGTGCGCGGCACCGCCGACGCGCTGCAGGTTCCTGCTCCAGGCGACGTGGGATAAACCAGAGCCGAGGAAGGAGATGACTCCAGGCAGCTGTTTACCTTACAGCACTGCCTTTTACCGAAAGCTGACACGACTTGCGCCCAGCCTACGTTTTAACGACACGAGGAACCGTGCTCCGGGGAGCAATCCCACACCGACAGGACAGCTTGAAGTTACCGAGACATCTGACAAGCCCTTAACCTGCAACGGCCAAGGCACCTTCCTGGCTATCACGTAACATGAGATGAATTATAAGAGATGGCTCCTTCCTGCGCCCCAGAGCAGCGTGGAGATGCTCCAGCTTGGGCTCACCATCCTCTGGATGCTGTTACGCTGCTCCCGGCACTAGCTGGGAGGGAAAAGAGGAGACGGCGTCCAGTACTTGCATTCGAGCCCTATACGCTACCAACCTTTTTGGGGGAGGAGAACACTGCCGTATCTTTGCAACCGTGCAGAAAGTTTGCTGCCTCCACTTTCCCCTAAGATCACAGAGCCTTTTCCCATAGTTAGAAAGGACACGCAGCAACGAGAGCTTTGCGAATAACGTTACTTTCAAAAACATCAGCGATGCCACTGAGCACACAAACACGTATTTATTAGAAACTAGAATTAGAAATCGTTTGAGAGACTGGCTTTCAGCTGTTGTTTTGAGCCATAACGACGTCCAAGAGCAACTACTCCCGAGCGTATAACACAGAACATCTCCCCACCCATTCACGTCGACGGAGCGTGGGATAAAAGCGGAGATGGGGCAAGCGTGCTTCAGGAACACGCGCATGACCTCTCCGGGCTCTGGACCGGCTGCCAAGGAACCACCAGGCTGCGCGGCAAGATCTCGCCAGTCCCTAGTTAAAAACGATGGCGTGGGAGCAGAGAGCTATTCTCACCGTACAGCTATTCTCACCGCAGCAGGGGGACGTTTCAAGAGTAGTTTCAAAGCATTAAGTTCTGCTCAATGGTCAAGTTGCGTTCCTTTTCTGTTACAGGCTTCTGGACTTTGGATGCTTAGAGGAGCACATGGAAGAAGGAGTTAAATTAGGTCCTTAAAAGGTCAGCTTTTCTTTTTCCCCTTTTAGTTGAACATTAAAAGTTTTCCCAAGGAAAAACTGGACTTATCTGGCCAAACACCAGCTTCTGCCCTAATAGGGTTTTAACTCTTTGGTTTCCAAGGATCACGTACCCACCTTTCCTCCAAAGACGCACCAGTAACACCTACCCATTCCACGCAAACCCAAGGAGAAGGGCTCAGCGGCTTCTTGCAGTTCCTTCACCTCTCCCTACGTTGGATGGCCAAGTCCTGCCGTTTTGGTACTCTCTGACCTTCCCTCCCGTGCTGTTCGCACGGAGGAGAGGGAACACCGGCTGACACTGCCTGTCCCAGGAGGTGTTTCCTGTGTTCGTACCCAGCACATCATCCCGAGGCAGCAACGTCCCCGAGAGGAGCGGGGCTGCCCGCCGCCCCTCCGGCCACGCCAGCCCCACGCCGCTGTACCATCCTCGCTCCCGTGAGCGCTAATTACACTGAAGTAAACAACACATAACGATGCCCATCAGCTCTGGAACTAACTTGAAGCACAAGCGCTTACCGGTGCATGACGAGCTCTGTATTAAACTCTCCTAATAAGTCCAGGGGGGAGCTGAACACAAGCAAAACACATGTTCCTGCCAGCCCGTGCTGACCCAGGCTCGGGCACGCGCCCAGGAGAAGTGCTGCTGAAAGGTGCTTTTTATCGCTAGCAACATCAGCCAGAGATCGGAGGGGAGAGGTAGCATTCAGAGCCAGATATTCCTCTCCCACTTAAATCCCAACTTATTAGACATTACTTAGAGCTGCCCGGATGCCCCAGTCACAAAACCGACGATGCATCACGACGCAGGAGAAAACGAACGTACAGAATTAGGCAAATCACGTAACCCAGAGGACAAACTTTGCTGCAGAATCATCTCATTAGCGGAAGAACGGTTATTTCTCGCAGAAGGCTTTGCTGCTCACGACGCTGCTAAACGGTTTGCCAAGACAGGACAGAATACCGACGTTACCGATCCCTATAACAAAGCACAGCGCGCGGTAGCACGGGGAGGACGAGCGTCGTCTCCCCGTGCCAAGCGCTAACCTGACGCATGCAGGCAGGCTGCGAAGCGCGCTTAGAGGCCACGCGCTGCACGAATCCTTACGGCGGTCTCGCGCAAAAACAATCTGGGTGAGAAAGAGTCATAGCCTGACAACTACATCCTTGCGCGGAGAGCCGGCACATTGAAGCCACCCAAACTTTCATCAACTTTAACGATCGGAAGGAAGTGCCACCGTCCCAAGGGGCTCAGGCCAGCAGCATCCAAGGCGTGGGGAGCTCTTACACAACGCTGGGTCCACGTTACCCAGCAAAACTCTGCTATGCAGCTTGCTGTAACATCTCAAGCTGCTTTTCAGAGCGCCAGAAGCTCGGCGAGTCTATTAGCCCCACATGGATACCCGCCAGCCTGCAGAGCCATCACTTCAAAAACCTTCTTGAAACCAGGGCTCTAGATTTCCATTTGCTAATGCCCCCAGGAAACCGATACAGGAAATACGTTTTACTGGGAGCTGCAAAAGCGAAAAAGGAGGGCAGTCGCGCAGCTGGAACAAACCAGAGTCAAACCCCTTTTTTTGGCGGGGGGGGGCGGGGGAGCCGCTTCCCGGCCTTTCGATCGCAACGGCGGCGGCTTTTGCCGAGAGCTCCTCGGCTGGGAACTCGGCTCATTCAGACACCATCATGTTTCTGTGCTATACGACCCAGGTAATAGGGTCACTTTGTACATGGCGCAGGGCGCAATAAAAAGTTAAATATTTATAGGGACAGCATCATTGTAAGAGAGCAAGGGCTTAGAAAGCTCAGCAGTCTAAAAGAGGGGGAAGAGGCCCGGACTCTTAAACAGCATCTCTGCGGGAAAATCTTAGCCACTTTGGAAAGGCAACCGAACGCCGCAGCCGTGGCTGCTACCTGTAACACGACCCGAGGCGGTGCAGAGGGCACGTTAGTTATTCCGCCTCAAAGCCCTTCAGGGCCTGAGGGCCCACGAGCAGCTCCCCGAACGCCGCGCGAGCCCCGGGATCCGCAGCCGGGCGCACGCCGGCAGAGCTGGCGCCAGCCGTCGGGAGCGCGTTTCTCCGTGGACAAACCTACGTGGTTCCCGCCTACTGAAAAGGCGGCTGGAGAAATTGCTGAAACTCTTGGGGACGTATCACGCCTCCCTTTAAAAGAGAAAAGAATTCGCTGTTGCGATTTAACGAGCTTTTTGGGAAAGGCGCTTTTGCTTAAGCGCTCCGCTCCTGGGGATGGGAGAGTCTCTCCTGGAAGAGAGGACAGAAACGGTTAGAGAAAACCGCTGCGAGCGGAACCACAGAGCCAACACGCAGTGAACGCTTCCAAAGCTGCCTCTCATCTCTTAACCGCCCGACTTCCAGGAAACAACAACAATACCAAGAATTCAGACTCATTACCAAACGCAACGCTTAATCCCGCGCTGCAAATTGGAAACGAGGAAAAGCTTTTCCAACCCTAGCAACGAGCCTCACCTTGTCCTCGCTAAGAGCCACCTACCAGTGCTCGTTCCCAAGGCAGTAACGTGCTTCCTCCATAGGGAGAACAAACGACCACTGAAAAACCACGAGGGGCAAGTACCTAAAAGCCACAAACACGCGCGGAAACAAGACGTCTGTCGAAATCTTCCCCCCCCCCCACCGCCCGCCCTTTCCTGCGACTGACACACGGCAAGGGAGACGGGAGAAAATGTCAGATGTCAGGACACAAAGGTCAGCACACTTACCTAGAGGGGTACAGGCTCTATTTATGGGCAGCTTAGGTCAACAAAAGTCTTGGAAAAAGCGACTCAGGTTTCAGAAGGCCGAGCGAGTCCCGAGCAGAGCGCAGCTTCCGGCGTACCTAGAGGGGTACAGGCTCTATTTATGGGCAGCTTAGGTCAACAAAAGTCTTGGAAAAAGCGACTCAGGTTTCAGAAGGCCGAGCGAGTCCCGAGCAGAGCGCAGCTTCCGGCGGAGAAGGGTTCACTCGCAGCGAGACGCTACTAGCGCGGCCCGGCCGCCGACCGTCCCAAGCGTTTGAGCGCGAAGGGGTTTTGGGCCATCAGGTAACGTTGGCGTGCAAAAGCTTTGCGAGGGGTCGGCGCCTGGCTCCGGGAAAGGGCAGAGGCGCGCGCCGCCGGTTCCTTGGGAGACCTCCAGCCCAACATCTGGCGCTCAGGACTGCCGCGCCGCTCCTAGCCGGAGCGCAGCTGGGCCAGCCGTAAAAGCGTGCTCTCCAACCGAGGCCACTTGACCCGTTAAGGATGTAAACGTTTGGGGTTTTTTCCTACCTTTTTTTTTTTTCCCCTACCAGCTGCAAATTAACTGAAAATTTCCTGGTTGCAATTCAAGCTTTGAATCGCAGTCACTAGGTTTAAGTGTGAACGGAGGCAAGTCCACGCGTTAAAACGACTTGCGGCAACTTTTCTCCAGGAGGGGAGGGTTCGCGTTACCGGGGCAGGCTGCCTGCCGGCCGCGAGATAACCACGAGCAGCACATCCACCGAGCAGGACCGCTCACCTAAGAGGAGAAAAGAGGACAGTGTTTCAGGGTGCTGCTACCGCCATAAAGAGGAGACGGACACGCAAGGCGTCGCTCTCTCTGAGCTCTCGCTCATTTGGGACTCCGTCAGCCAGCTGCCTGGAGGGTTTTAAAGCGCTCCAATAAAAAAAGAGGTTGTGACTGATCCTAATAATAGTCGGGAACAACTCTGAGAAAGCGCTGGCTCTCTCCTCGTCTCTGGAAGAAAGGAGAGGCCGGCTCCGGGAGATAAGAGCTGCTGTTTAACACCACCTTCCCTCGCGGGGGAAAGCGAGAGGTGACGGAGCGGCTCCGCGCTGCGCGGACCTGGCTAACGGCGAGGCAAGGCTGCCCGCTGACACCGTGCTAACGCCAGCCGCTTCCCTCTGGGAAACGTCAGCACACTGGAAGTTATTTTCCAACTCCATCTTTCTTCTCCCCTGCCCATTTCACAAGGAGCGATTACCCAGCGGGTCGTTTTGAATTCTGACATTTAACGTTTCCAACTGCAACGCTGTCAGAGAGCTCGAGTCTTACGTCGATCCAGCCCGGGAAAGCCTCTCTCGCGCGGAGAGGAGAGGTCAGGGACACGTTGCAAGATTTGTTTGAATTCTTCCCGGCTGCACCTCTGGCTGCACCTCCAGCACCGGCTGCAGGGGAAACCAGACCGGCTTCCTCCATCTTCGCACCTCCAAGTCAGCTTTTCCCAGCTCCTGCTCCATCTTCAATCCTCCAGTGCCCTGCTGCTTTCAACGCTGCTGAACGTGCTTATTCTTGGCACCGCTCTCGCCTAGCAGCCTTCTCCACCAAGCCTGGTTACAAGCGTCTCAAACCTCCCGCTCCGCTTGCGGGCTGTCCCCTGCACCCCGGCTCCCCGATGGCACGCTGATCCGGCGCCTCTTTCCAGACGTCTGAACCTCAGCCCCATCGGAGACCAAACTGCGACCGTTCGTCCTCACCGCAGCTGCAGGCGCAGCTTCGGCCTCACCAGCGCTCCGGGCTGCAGCGCAGGATCCGTCTCATCTCGCGCTCCCTCCTGCTTGCTTCAAGCCGAGGGGCGGTAGGATGAAAACGAGCAGAACAGAAATAAGCCTGTGCGGGCAAGCTTTTGAACTACTAAAGCTCTCATTTCAAATTAAGGCAAGGCAGCTCTCTTGCAGACTACAAGCAGCTCCCCTGCCGGCCGTGTCTACTGCTCCAGCTCGTTCGCTGAGGCCCTTTGCTGGCTCCCCGGGTCCCGCCGGGCATCCCAGATCGCTCGGTTTGTCCCCGCGGGCCGGCAGCAGGAGACTGCGCCGTACCTTGCTCCAGCTCTACGACAGGCCTTTTCCACCTGCAGACCTCAAAACGCCTTTCAGGGCACCTAGGTCTGTCCTGGCCAGCAGAGCCCAAAAGACTTCCTAGGATGGAGCCAACTAATAAAAGATGGTGGCGGGGAAACCTGCGGCTGCTCGTAAACTGACTTGGCAATTCACCGTCTCATCTACGGATCGCACTTCCTCGTTATAACTCAGAAACGCGGCACTGTTGGGTCTCTAAAGGCACGCATGATACACCATTTTGGCCCTGCTGCTGCACAGAGGCTCCGAGCTCAGGACAAGGCTGCCGCAGCAGCTCGGCTCCGAGCAGGACAGCCGCCAGGTGCCAGAGCCGGCATCGCGAGGGCAGAGCTACCGAGCCAGCTACAACGGTTCTCCGGAGCAAGGGCCGCGTACTTTTGCGATTCGCTTTGAGCGTCCGGCGCGACAGGGTCCCGATGGCAAACGCTCTCTGCTCACTGCAATAGGCGCTTTACCCCTCGGGGGTCCCGGCCCGCTCGCTCGCTCTTGGCCTACCTCCGAGTCGGAAGGACGGACACGCTGGACAGACGCGTGCCGCTCCTCTGCCGGGAGGGCAGTTACGCAGGGCAAAGCAACGCTCCCGGGGCGACTGCTGCACAGCGCGTAAAAACAAAGCAAGCGGGAACAGTCCCTTCTAATCAGCAGCAGATGAGAAGCACGAGATTAACGCTGGATGATTTAGCTACAATTTGAGGACAGCAGGAGGCCAAACACCGTAAGAGCAGAGGACGGTCCACGTAGCCCCGTAACCTGCTTTCAGGCAGTGCCAGAACCAGCTTCGGAGCTCCGACTACCCCCGCGTCCAACCCCCCGAGCCGTGGG